TTGCTCCATGCATTCTGTCCAGCAGCAGGGGAGAAACAGAGTCGGGTATGCGTATTCCATTTATGATCTGTGTAACCCTGGGCAAGTTACATAACCTCTCAGTACTTAGTTTTTATCTTTGGAAGAGGATAATAGTGGTATCAATCTGAGATGGTTGTTGTGAGAGTAAATGAGTTTATATACATAAAGCACTTAGAATAGTGCCTAACCACAGTGAGCACCTAATAAATATTAGCCTTTATTAACAATTATCATAGAAAGAAAATAAACAAAAAGATAAAAATCACCCCAAAATCCAATGCCTAGAAATTTTAACATAAACATTATTTCAGAATTTTCAGTCAAGATATATTACACTTCAGCTAACTCCATAAAAAAAAAAAGATATATTGACCAATTGACAAATGAACAGCAGGTATAGGATTGTATATCCTCCCCTATTCCCAGATTTATGCATTTCATAATTAGGGGAGAGGCAGTGGGTCATAGGATAAAGTCTTTCTGCCTCCAAGCCTTCATCCCACTATTATTCCCACCTGAGATGGTCATCCTCCCAACTCCTACTTGGGTTTTTTTTTTTTTTTTTTTTGAGACAGAGTCTCACTTTGTTGCCCAGGCTAGAGTGAGTGCCGTGGCATCAGCCTAGCTCACAGCAACCTCAGTTTCCTGGGCTCAAGCAATTCTGCTGCCTCAGCCTCCCGAGTAGCTGGGACTACAGGCATGCGCCACCATGCCGGCTAATTTTTTCTATATGTATTACTTGGCCAATTTCTTTCTTTCTATTTTATAGTAGAGACAGGGTCTCGCTCTTGCTCAGGCTGGTTTTGAACTACTGACCTCGAGTAATCCACCCGCCTCGGCCTCCTAGAGTGCTAGGATTACAGGTGTGAGCCACTGCACCCGGCCATACTTGGGTTTCTAGTTTCACTTTAAAGATCATGTCCATGAGAAGGCTTTTCTGACCCCAGGCAAGAAGTAGATCGCCCTAATCAATGCTTTCATGTCACCTAATACTTCTTAGCATTCATCACACTTGTAATTTATAACCATGTGCCTACAACCTAAAAAGACAGGACAAGTCCTCTTTCTCACTTTCTTGATCTGTACTCGAAAGTTTCTCTTTGGTTCATCCTTCCCTCACAGATGGTGACCCTATCCTCCCTTACCTGTCCTCCAAGGCTCTGCAGTACAATCCTTTTCAGCTGATCAAGTTGACACTAATTTGGGCAACAGTGCTTATACACTTGGGGCTCCACAGTTTGGAGCTGAGTCAATGACAGTGGTAAAGGCCTATTTGCACTTCTCACCCCAGAGATTCTAATTCAATAGGAACTGGGGTGGAGATGGGGTCTAGAAGTATACATTTTCAAAAGCTCCTCTCATGATTTTGATGCTGGTGACCCAAAAAAACAGTGCCTGTGGTAGGCAACTTCTGACATGGCTTCCAATGATCCCTGCCTTCTGATAGTCACACCCTATGTATTCTCCATTCCTTGAGTATAGGCTGGGATGTCACTTACATGATTAGGTTACAAAACACTGACTTCATCTTGCTGGTGTTATGTTTCCAGCTCTTGCTCTAATGGAGAGGGCTACCTGGGTAGCCTCTGGCCGACAGTCAGTCAGGAAATAAGGTCCTCAGTATAGCCACTCATGAAGTAGTAAATCCTGCTAAAAACCACTGAGTGATCTTGGAAGCAAGTCCTCCCCATTTAAGCTTTGTGAAGACTATGGCCCTAGCTATCACCTTGAGTTCAGCCTGTGAAAGACCCTGAGGTAGAAAACTAAGCTCAGCTATGTCTAGATTCCTTACCCATAGAAAATGAGACAATAAATGTCTTATTTTTTATTTTGAGACAGGGTCTTGCTCTGTCACCTGGGCTACAGTATAGTGGCATCATCATAGCTCCCTGTAACCTCAAACTCTTGGGCTCAAGCAATCCTCCTGTCTCAGCCTCTTGAGTAGCTGAGACTACAGGCACACACCACTGTCCCCAACAAATTTTTCTATTTTTTGTAGAGATGGGGTCTCCCTCTTGCTCAGGCTGGTCTCAAACTTCTGGCCTCAAGCAATCCTCCAACCTCAGCCTCCCAAAGTAGTAGGATTATAGGCATGAGCCATCACACCAGGCCAATATGTGTTGTTTTAAATCACTATGTTTTACAATAATTTGATAACTAGCAGTAACTAATATACTGCCTACATATGCCATCTAGACTCCATTCTACCCATCCATGTTGAAAGATGCACCAAAGTGGGGGATTTCTAATATCTCTTTAACAAAATTTCATAAAACACTGACTGTAGACATTCTCTGCTCTTCTTATGCTTAAAGATATGCATCAGTCCAATTGCCATTTTCAGCTTCAGAGACTTTAGCTTAATCTTTTAAGTATCATTTGTTTCATGTGTGTGAACTCTGAACTCTCATAAAGTAAAGATCAGCATGTGTAAGTGAGTAATAGATTCTTGGTTAGGAATCCTCTCTTTGTAAAGCAAAGACAAACTACATTGCATTTGCATGATCCTGGGATGTGAATGGTTCCTTTCCCTCTTTGGGTGTGAGGCCAGGGAATTTCAGCCAAGCCCACACTGGACTTTAGAGACATTCACTTAAGACTGGAACTACAGAATTCTGGAAAGTTATGGCACCATTAGCTGGGACCAGTTTACAGGTAAAGAAGATACTAAATTCCAAAGGAAAACTAGAACACGGGTGGGAGTGGGGGGATAGTCTCAAAGCATCAGGAATTAGCAACTTCTATACAGTGGAGGATGTGGGAGGAAGAAGGGATTTATTTAAGAGTCAGAGACTGAGAATCAAGTCTTACTTGTCTAGACAAAGCTAAGATGAGAAACCAAGAGTGTCAACTCCTAAAATAGGACTCACTGGACTGGTGCCACGAAGTCTCCATTGCTTCATCAAGAGCTTACCAGCCCATGTTTAATCAAAAACCCAGGACTGGCCAGGCACGGTGGCTCACATCTGTAGTCCTAGCACTCTGGGAGGCCAAGGCGGGCGGATTGCTTGAGGTCAGGAGTTCGAAACCAGCCTGAGCAGAGTGAACCCCCATCCCCTCTACTATAATAGAAAGAAATTAATTGGCCAACTAATATATATAGAAAAAATTAGGGGGCATGGTGGCACATGCCTGTAGTCCCAGCTACTCGGGAGGCTGAGGCGGTAGGATTGCTTGAGCCCAGGAGTTTGAAGTTGCTGTGAGCTAGGCTGATGCCAGGGCACTCACTCTAGCCTGGGCAACAAAGTCAGACTCTGTCTCAAAAACAAAAAAACAAGCCGGGCGCGGTGGCTCACACCTGTAATCTTAGCTCTCTGGGAAGCCGAGGCGGGCAGATCGTTTGAGCTCAGGAGTTCGAAACCAACCTGAGCAAGAGCGAGACCCTGTCTCTACTATAAATAGAAAGAACTTAATTGGCCAACTAATATATATAGAAAAAATTAGCCGGGCATGGTGGTACATGCCTGTAGTCCCAGCTACTCGGGATGCTGAGGCAGAAGGATTGCTTGAGCCCAGGAGTTTGAGGTTGCTGTGAGCTAGGCTGACGCCATGGCACTCACTCTAGCCTGGGCAACAAAGCAAGACTCTGTCTCTAAAACAAACAAACAAAAACAAAAAGACAAAACAAAAAACCTAGGACTCTACTCCTACTTTTTAGTTAAATGACTGACAGTTTTAGGACTTGAAGAATGGTCTGTCCTAAATCTCCACCTAAGAGTACAAACTTTGGAGAGCAACTCAGTCAACACTAGGGCCCTCAGAAGGCAACCACTTTCTATGCAAGTGAGGGTTCAACTGTACCTTACACTAGAGTTTCTCAATTCTAGGGAGTACACGGTAGTATTCTAGGCCAAGGATACCAATCCTTCTAGCACGCTTCTTAGGAAGCTCTAACTTCGACTGAGGGCAGGAGCCTAACTGCTGCCTGCTGCTTCTTGCTGTAGATCTAATAGTTCTATGTGTGGTTTTTTTGTTTGTTTGTTTTTTAATGACAGAGTCTCACTTTGTTGCCCAGGCTAGAGTGAGTGCCATGGCGTCAGCCTAGCTCACAGCAACCTCAATCTCCTGGGCTCAAGTGATCCTACTGCCTCAGCCTCCCGAGTAGCTGGGACTACAGGCATGCACCACCATGCCCAGCTAATTTTTCTATATATATTTTTTAGTTGGTCAATTAATTTCTTTCTCTTTTTAGTAGAGATGGGGTCTCACTCAAGCTGGTTTTGAACTCCTGACCTTGAATAATTCTCCTGCCTCGGCCTCCCAGAGTGCTAGGATTATAGGTGTGAGCCACCGCGCCCGGCCATTCTGTGTGGTTTTGATACTCAAGTTCATAAGTTCGTTATTAACTCTTTCCCTTATACTTTTTTTTTCTTTTTTTCAGACAGAGTCTCATTCTGTTTCCTGGGCTACAGTACTGTGGCATCATTACAGCTCACTGCAGCCTCAAACTCCCAGGCTCAAGCAACTCTGCTGGCTGAACAACCAGCGTAGTTGGGAACGATAGGTGCATGCTACCATGCCTGGCTAATTTTTCTGTTTTTGGTAGACACATGGTCTATGTTGCTCAGGCTGGTCTTGAACTCTTGGCCTCAAGGGATCCTCCGGCCTTGGCCTTCCAAAGTGCTAGGATTACAGACCAGAGCCACTGTACCCAGCTATCTCTTTCCTTTATAATTCTATGTGATGGAAGGAAACAGAAGTTGAACTCAAGCTCCTTGAGAGCAGGGACAGTCACCATCAGTGTGCATATCCAGTACCTATCATGTGTTGGTACTCAGTACTCTGTATTTCTGAATGGACACTAAGATACAGAGCAATCTGTCCAATGTCACATACCCCGGGATCTAGGTCTCCTAGCTGTAAAGCCAGAACTCAGCAGACAGTATCTGGTTCTCTTCATTTTCCAGCACCGTGCTTTAGAGTAGACTGGGAATGAGTCCTCCTCCCAGCCCCAAATATGAAAGACAGAAGATACCCAGTTCAGGGTATGTTTGTAGATAGATTTCTCATAGATTTATTTCTGTGTCATGTTATATATAGATATATGCATATATACCTTTTTTTTTCTTTTAAATACAATCTCTATTCCCTTCTCCTCCTCACCAAACTCACAAAAGGAGATATAAATCCTTCCAGGACTGCCATCAGGCTTCCCAAGATGGTCAGAGCCAAGGAAAAAACCATCTCTCAACATCTTAAGAAACAGATGCCTTTCTCAGGCTCTGGGGTCATTGAAGCAGCATTCCCAGGGCCCAAGGGGAGGAGAGAGGAGAGGAAACAACTCTAGTGTGACAGGATTCTAGGATGAAAGCATCCAGTGACTCCTGGAATAGCAGACTGGCTCCCAGAACTCTCAGGGTGGGAATAAAGATGGGGACCCTATGGCTCTTCAGATGCTGCCCAACAGGTGGGGGTAGGGAGCAGGAATGGGGGGTTAGGCATGCAGGGACAGCGGGGTAGGAGAAGGAACACCTGTGGGTTATGCTGGAGACAGAGCAATTCCCATCAGGGTTGCCCATCTACTCAATGACACATCATGAACGGACAGATGCTGAGCTCTTAACAAAACGGGAGAGAGCATGGCAGGGAGGGGAGCAATGGAGCACACAAGAAAGTCACAAAAAACAAAAAGTACCAATGAAAACATGACCTATACTTGCCTCCTCCCTAGAGAAGGTGTGATCTATATCGGGGGTGGGGGAGGTGAACGGTCATGAACCTAGGATTATCAGCTGGCCAGGGGCACAGAAAGGCTCTCTGAGAACTCCTAAGAGGCAGGCAGGCAGCTGGGACCCCACATCCCCAGGGAAGAAACGACAGTCCCTTCAATTCGACTTGGACCAAATCTTGGCACTCCCTCGGAGCCTGGCAAGGGGAAGAGAGAGAGAGACAGAGAGGATGCAGGGAATCCCCTAACTCCTAGAGTCCCCCCACTCCCCACCAGCATGCAAATGACTAAAGAAGGGAGGGCAGCCAGGGCCCTGAAGTACAAGTGGGGACCCCCAGAAGCAAGCAGTTCTTGCCACACTGGCTCACCCCTTGCCCTTGGAGGCTTTCTTGCTGGGCTGGCGCTGGTTGGTGCCAGGAGCTGGTTCCCTCAGCTCAGTCAAGTGTTGCTCAGGGTCCTGAGATGTCGCTGCAGCTGCTGCCGCCGTTGTAACTTTAATGGTTTTTTTAAGGTTGGCAACCTACCAGGATGAAAGGAACGGGGTATAGCAAGGAAGGTTCCAGAATCTGACAGCCCCTGTCCATCTTGTCTGTCTGCTACAGCCACTGTCCAACCCTCTCCACACAGGACAAGTGGCCCAGGCTGGAAGAGCCTGGGTCCCTCTGCTCCCCTGCCTGCTCACCTCACTCTCAATCTGCTGCTTCAGACCCAGCTGCTGCTCCTTGTGCTGGTTGGCACGGCTCACTTGCTCCTCAATGCCTGACAGCACCACTTCACAGCCCACACACCTGCGCAAGCGTCAGAAGAGGGCTGTAACTACAGACTAATGGAAAACAGACTCAAGAAGAACTAGATCCTGGTATTCAAACCCTTGTCTGAGTTGAGAACGCTCTCCATGGCACCTGGAACCCACCTACACTACTCACAGCAGCGACACAGACACTCAGGTATGATGTTAGAGGGACAAGGAAATTCCTGGAGTGACATGCAAGTTGGGAGTAGGAACTCAAAACAAAATAGGGTGGAAGATGCTGAAGAGAAAAAAAGAAGGTGAAGTAATGAACGGACACACTGAAGGTGAGTAGGAATACAAAGAGAAAAAGAGAAGAGGAAGGGTCCCATGCCTGTGGACAATGGTGGTTACAGACCGATGGGTTGAATCCAGCCTAACACAGCTGACCAACCTTTCCAGTTAGGATCTCCTTAAGGGTACCACTCCCTTTCCCCGCCCAAATTATTGTGCCAAGGACACTGACTCCTGCCTCCCAGGGCCTCCTCCACTGCTGTCTTCCTCAGAAGCCTTTGGAGGAATAAGCTCATTTCCCTTCATCCTCTTGGGTTCCACCTCTGCAGCCCAGCCCACCACCTGCCCTCTCTCACCCTGAAGCACCTCTCCCTTTCTTGTGGTGAGAAGGGAAGAGACAGTGCCAGGACACAGGTCTCACCACTCCTGCAGGGTTCGGGCAATGGCACTGAGGTCCTGGCGCTGGATGTCCCGCCCGATGCTGTAGTCAACCTCCAGCCGCTGATTGCGCTGGTCCAGGGAGCCTCGAAGCACGTCTGCGTACACAGCTTCAATCACAAGGTCTTCCAGCTGCCGCACGTTACGCAGGGCAAGGGCCTCCAGCAACACTGCATATGGGATGCACTGGGCCCGGGGAGGTCAAGCCAGGATTTGTGAGGTTCCGCAGCAAAGGGCTTCCAAGACTCTTCTCCCCTCCTTTTCCCCACTGCCCAGGCCCATCTACCCTCCACTCCTATTCCTAAATCTTTCTTGTAACAGCCTGGTTCTAAGGCAAAATAAATAAAAATATCCTCATCTCATGATCCCCTGCACCATGAGGACAACCTTAAATAAGATACAAGACTTCTGCTTCCCTCCCAGCCCTCCCACACTCACCCCCCACACCACAGAGGGAGAAAGTGATGCCTGCCTGGTGTCATTCCTTTGGCCATAACTCAGGATGTCACACAGCCTCTGTTCAAGATCAACTTGACATGGGGAGAATATGTAGTAATGGGAGACGTCTGGAGTACTGTTTATCATTTATACGTCACCTACTTCCAACAGATATTCTTTCTGAGGCATCTCACCATAGATAGCCTGACGCATGTCAGATGAGAATACCTGAGCATCAGGTAACAACTGGAAGAGTGCAGACAGGGCAGGGCAGGAGGTAGGACACTGAACAAGAAACTGAGCCTGGCCGGGAGTGGTGGCTCACGCCTGTAATCCTAGCACTCTGGGAGGCTGGGGCAGCTGGATCCTTTGAGCTCAGGAGTTCGAGGTCAGCCTAAGCAAGAGCAAGACCCCATCTCTACCAAAAATAGAAAAAATTAGCTGGGCATGGTGGCGCATGCCTGTAGTCCCAGCTACTCGGGAGACTGAGGCAGGAGGATCGCTTGAGCCTAGGAGTTTGAGGTAGCTGTGAGCTAAGCTGATGTCATGGCACTCTAGCCCAGGCAACAGAGTGAGATTCTGTCTCAAAACAAAACAAAACAAAACAAAACAACAAAAACTGAGCCCAAAAGGACCACAGAAGTACTTCTGGGATATACATTTCCTATTCTAACAAACAAAAGCCCAGCACTTTATCAGAAGAGAGCCCTGTTTCCAGCTCTGAGGCTTGTTCTCATGGGACTTGACATGGTGGGGAGGAAGGTAATTGCTAAACAACATGTGAACAGTATCCTAGTTGGTATTTTGACCAAAAACACAAAAGACATTTACTTAGAACTTAAGTTGCTTGAAAAATAAAAACAAATCAGAAAACTAAGAATAATAGGCTTAATGGCTATCTATGCAGTAATTTAGATACAGACCTTGGAAGAGGGAAGGGAGGAAGAAGGGACAGTCTGATCAAGGGCTGTCCTAGTGCAAACTCCCAGGCACGTGAAAAAGGATGCTCTAGACTTCACTGGCTTAGGACTGGGGCGACTGTCACTTACCTTTACTTTGGCAGCCAGAGTGACGACTGATAGGTGTCGAAGCTTATTCTTCTGAGCCTCTGTAAGTGGGGGAAGATTTCGGGCTTCAGCTAAAGAAAAGGGACAAAGCAAAGTGAATCCTGATTTCAGTTTTGTGGGAAGCCCTAGCCTCTTTCCCCTGCATTTTGTTAAAATTAGTTCTCGATGCCAATTCAGGTCTTTACCCTGACCCTGGGTACCCAGGGGATCTAGAAATTTCTAGAAGGGTATCCCAGGAATTTCTTCTAAATCTCTCTAGAAACTGCCCTTCTCCCATCTCTGTTACTTCAGAGCTCCAGCCCCGCTAGTTACCTAAGTAGTCAGCATATGTGCCATAAGCAAACACTGTGAGCAGCCGGAATGTGGAAGCGAAGTCACTCTCAGCCAGCTGCAAGAATATGAGGGAAAAGAAGAGGTGACAGGAAGCTCTCCCTCTCCACCCTCCCAGGCCTACCCTGTTTTGAAGTCCATTTTCTGGCCCCATCTTTTCCAGCCAGTGTTACCTCTCCTGGTTGACCAAAAGAAGTTCTAAGCCTCTTTGATCACTCTCCCCACAGGAAGGGCTCCTTTCCATCTCCAGGGCTTTGCTTACACTATTCTCCCAATCCACAGTGTCCTCCTGCTCCATACAGCATTCATTTCCTACACTAAATAGAGTTGAAAACCTTCAACACTCAGAATCTAACAGACATACACACCAGACACTGCAAATTGTGCTGTTTGGCCCTCAGAGTATGTTTACTATTCTAAATTTGAATATCTTTAGGCAGTCTGCAGTACTCCCCAGTTCATCAGACTCCTACCTCAACCTCACTCATCTCTGACAGCTGCATGGCCTAGATATGTGTGGCCGGTGCTACCCCCAGGCAGACTTGGCCAGTAGAAACTGCTCCTGAATTTGTGGCCTCTACTTCAGAGCCACCATACCAGGAGGCTGTCTTGTATTCCCCAGTCCAGCCCACCCAGATCTCCTCTCCTATCGCGGATCACTTATTCTGTCACTTAATCAATTCAATCCCTGCAAAAGGTTGTTACCTAAGAACATGTTTCCTTGCAACAAGATTATAGATCCAGTTTCTGGTATCCCACTAGGATCTAGCAGAGTTAGGAACGGAGCAGGTTTTCTCAATAAATACTTGCTAAATGAAAGATTTATAGGTTTACATCCATTCATCTTATCTCTTCAACTAGAATGGAAGCTTCAGAAGGGTAAGCCCCGTGTCTGGTACTTTTCTGGTATTCCCAGACTACTGGCAGAATGCTAAGCAGCATTCTTTTTCTTCACCTTGATTGATACTCTTTAGATCCACTGCAGATAAAAGCAAGTACCAAAGGTGGCCAGTCTCCTCCATAACACAGACTAATCCAAAAAGGCTAAATATGTTCACTCAATCGCAGGCCCTCAAGTTTGACCACAAATGACCATCTGAGCATCTCAGGACTTGCGTGGTGCCACAAGTCTTGGTGACCTGACTTTAAAATCTTTTTTTTTTTTTGAGACAGAGTCTCACTTTGTTGTCCAGGCTAGAGTGAGTGCCGTGGTGTCAGCCTAGCTCACAGCAACCTCAAACTCCTGGGCTCAAGTGATCCTACTGCCTCAGCCTCCCGAGTAGCTGGGACTACAGGCATGTGCCACCATGCCCGGCTAATTTTTTCTATATATGTTAGTTGGCCAGTTAATTTCTTTCTATTTATAGTAGAGACAGGGTCTCACTCTTGCTCAGGCTGCTCTCGAACTCCTGACCTTGAGCAATCCGCCTGCCTCGGCCTCCCAGAGTGCTAGGATTACAGGCGTGAGCCACCGAACCCGGCCTGACTATAACTCTTAACTCTGCTACTGCAGTGTGAATGGTTCTCTCTGCTGTGTTCTTAGCAGCTTGCCATGTGTCTTTGGGAAAAAGACACCTTCTCCATTACCTACTTTAAGTAGATTAGCATTTGCTGCACAGGGAGAAAAAGAGGGCATGCTAATTTAACAGGTTCATTCCCTCCATTTGTAGAGAGTTTACATTTTCCCATAATCTCACCTGATTCCCACAACAACTTGAGGGGCAGTATCACCTCCATTTTTAAAAGAGAAAGCTGAGGCCCTAAAATAAAAGTGACCTGATCAAGGTGACATGATTATTAACAGCTGTTATGGTGGAGACAGGCTGGAACCCTGGTCTCGTACTCTGAATGACATGCTCTTTTGCCTAATAACGAAAAATACTAGGCTTTACAGATCCCTCATCTCCAGAGGGAAACTAAGAGGTTTACTTTCTTACTGGTTATTATTATTGTTATTATTTTTTAAAGAGACAAGGTCTTGCTCTGTTGTCCAGGCTGGAGTGCAGTGGCATGATTATAGCTCACTGTAACCTTGAACTTCTGGGCACAAGTGATCTCAGTAGCTAGGACTTACAAGCACGTGCCACCACACCCGGCCAATTTTTTAATTCTTTGTAGAGAAGGTGTCTCACTATGTTGCTCATGCTGGTCTTCAATTCCTGGCCTCAAGGGATCCTCTCACCTCAACCTCCCAAGTGCTGGAATTACAGGTGTGAGCCACCTTGCCTGGCCTGGTTACTTTTTAACTGGTTACTTTTGAAAGTTGCCAGTTAATCATCTCTGTATTGTTGTTCACCTGAATGGTTACGGACTTACAGAATGAGCCCTGCCCACCCATTCTCAAATTCAAACTTTTCCCCCAAACTTCCCTGTGGGTTATTCAGGCCAGCAACCCACCTCTCTAACATTGGGCATATCCAGCAGTTCTCCAAATACGTAGACACCAGGGGCTTCCAGCACCTGGTGGATCAGTGTAGCCAGCGCTGCCCCCTTGGCCGACTTGGCCAGGAGCAGAAATTGCTCCTGGTTCTGCCCTGTCACCTTCACTTCCGCACTCATGGCCGCACTGAGCTGGAGGGACCTGGGCAGCAAGAAAAGAGGATGTAAAGCTAGAGGTCCCTAAACACTGGCAGGATGGGAAGCACAAGGGGGAGGAGCTGTATCGCAGTGGCACTAAGTCACTTCTGCAGTGAGGAGTCAGAGATGGAGCTGATCTAAAAATTCTAAAGTCAGCCACTTTACACGGTCGCCACGCCCACTCGCTCCCCAAGCGCCTAACCCCAAGCACCACCACGTCCAACCCACCGAACGAGGCACAAGATGCAGCAGGGGAAGGGGTGTCACATGGTGTCCACCCTAACGACGACGCTCCCTCAGTTCTTCACTAGTGTCCGCACGTGCCCCTCACCACGTGACCTGACCCCCAGGATCCTTACGCGTAACCCCGCCCCCTCCCTTAAAGAGGCCGCCCAGGGACCGCAGGCTCCCGCCGACTGCCCGGTCGTACCCTGGGTCAGACTCTGCGTGCTGCTACCAGGAAGCTTCCTCTTCCAGCGCACCGGGCGGGGCCACCGCTCCGTCACCTCCGGCAGCTGTTCCGAGCCTTTCCTGCCACCTCCCTGCAGAGTCGCTCTGGCCACTAAACTCTATGGCCGGCTTCCGGCCCCGCTTCGGCTCTTACGACACCGGATGGAGCGGGATATGCCCCGCCCCCGCCTTCCAACCGCTGAAGCTCCAAGGAGGGACACAAGCATTCTACTCTCCGATTGGTTGCTGGGGAAAGAATGACAGAAGCCTTTGTTTCGGCTTTGTTTCAATAAAACTTTATTGCATTGAGAGCGCTATCAGCTAAATGCGTTAAGTCCCAGGCGAGTGCCCGGTGTCGGGTGGCTCCGTGTCTGCTCAAAGCTGCGAGAGAGCTGGAGATGCAGGCTGCGTGGGGTGCCTGGGGCAAGAGGAAAACTGTAATGGGCAGGGGAAAAATGGGGTGGGGGGAATGAGAAGAGGAAGCAAACAATAATCAATAATAGAAATTTAGTGGCAGAGATCACCTCGGTAGTTCAACCACTCACTTTTTTGAAGAGCAGGAAAAAAGAAGTGGAAAAGATAAAGGAAATAATCGTAGCTAACATGTATCAAGTGCTTACTATTGGTCGGACATCTGTTAAAATTGCATCCCATTGAATCCTCACAACTGTACTGACCCCAGTGTGACTCTAGGACACTCTGTACCATGATTACAACGTGTACTTGTAGAGGGATGCTCCAAGTACAAGTACATGGAGCTCACATGGAGTCTTTTAATTCCTGGAGGAGGAAAAAAACCTAGTGGAAGGAAAGCATATGTTATTCTTATTGTACAGATGAGGAAATTGAAGCTCATAAAAATCAGAGATTTACTTGAAACCTAGGACTTCTCAAACTCAACCATCTTTCCACTTCATGATACACACAAAAAAAATCCCCCAAACAACTAAGATTTCTATAGCGTTTTATATTTCACACCAGGCTTGCAGAAGGTTAAATGAGAGTGAAGTTAATGACATCTTGGAGGCCTTTGTGTTAAGCCATCAATGAGCCTTACTTACTTCACCTGATACAACAGTCTATTAATTATCTCCAATTTTCAGATGAAAAAACTGAAGCCCAGAGAAGTTAAGTAACTTATAAGTAATGGAAAGATGGAAAAATGAAAAAGACAAAAGAGATAAATAGAAAATTATAGGACTAGCAGACTGTTACAGCTGAAGGGACTTTAAGTGCAGAGTTTATAGTCCACATTCCTTTGTTCCTGATAGGAAATAGGAAGCAGAAATACAGAAAGGAAAGAGAGAAAGGAGGAAGAGGAGGAGTAGTGAATGGAAGAGATTAAACATAAAAGTGAAGAGAAGGAATCAAAGGCATAATGAGATTCAAAGTTTGATGGAACCAAGGAATTAATGAGTCCAAGCTTATTTTTAAAGAGGAAATGAAAAAGTATATGTAAGATGAAAGAATGAGAAAAGAACAAATATGTGTTCTGTTATGCACCAGGTGCTTTATTTGTTCAACTTTATATTCAATCTTTCCACAACCCTTTGAGGTGCATATTAATATCTCTGTTAACTGGGGATCACAGAAGTTAATAGTTTGTTGACAGTCACCAGTATAAGTAGTGGAACTAAGATCCACAGGCAAGTTTGTCTGATTCCAACCCACTGTGTTAAGAAAGAGAAGAAAGAAAAGGCAGAAAGGAAAAAGAGAAGAAAGGAAAGAGAAAGGGATAACCTGAGATCTAGTCCTGATATGCATTAAACTGGCTGTGACCTTAAAGCAAATCATGCCATTTTGTGGCATCTCCTCTTCCCCTCTTCTGTATCAGCCAAGTGACAGATTAAATGTAAGGCAATTTTGGTTGTGATGTTTTATGGTTCTATGAGAGCAAGCAGAGTGAGGGGAGAACATGAGAGAACAATTAGTAAGTAGAAAAAGAATATTTGGCCGGGCATGGTGGCTCACGCCTGTAATCCTAGCATTCTGGGAGGCCAAGGTGGGTGGATTGCTCGAGGTCAGGTGTTCGAAACCAGCCTGAGCAAGAGCAAGACCCCATCTCTACTATAAATAGAAAGAAATTAATTGGCCAACTAATATATATATATATATATATATATATATATATATATATATATATATATAAAATTAGCCGGGCATGGTGGCGCATGCCTGTAGTCCCAGCTACTCGGGAGGCTGAGGCAGAAGGATTGCTTGAGCCCAGGAGTTTGAGGTTGCTATGGGCTAGGCTGACATCACGGCACTCACTCTAGCCTGGGCAACAAAGTGAGACTCTGTCTCAAAAAGAAAAAGAGTATTTGGAGAAAGAAGTGAGAGGGAATAGGCTAAAGAAGTGGGATTAGACAGAGAAAGGGAGAGAAGAGGAGGAGGAAGAGATGAGAGAAGGATAAGAGAAAGGAGTGGAAATGGGGAAAGTGGAAAGAAAATAAGAGTCTCCAAGAGGGAGATGAGAGCTAAGTAAACTTAAAGCTCTGGATGTAACATTCATTCATTCATTTGTTACTAAGTGGAAGTTATATGCAAGGTCATGTGCCAAGTGCTGTGTTTTTTAATGCTAATGATAGAAAACAAGATGCACTGAAATAAAGCTAGAAAAGTTGATTGATATCCAAGGAGTCAGACACATAGTAAAATATTCATCATTGATTCAAAAGATATATATTAATCATCGCTTATTGCCAGGCATTATTCTAGCTCCTGGATAAATAGGCAAAATCCCTGCCCTCTTGGTATTTATATTCTTGTGGTGGGACTTGGACCATAAATAAATAGTCACAAGGTGATACATACAAAGATAAACAAGAACAAGGCAAGGGGATGGGGAATGTAGGAGACATTTGTTGTTTTATATAGGTACTAAGAAAAGGCCTTTCTGATAAGATGACATTAGAGCAAGTCATATGGCTTTCTGTAGGGAAAGTGTTCCAGGCAGAGCAAACTACCAGTGCAAAGGCCCTGTGTTGGGGGACACACTTGATGTGTTTGCGGAGCAGCAAGGGGGCCTGTGTGGTTGGAACATAGCAAGGAGAGAGAAGGCAGGGAAAAGGTTACAGAGAACAGGGTGGCCGAATCATGTCAGGCCTGAGGGCCATTGTCAGGACTTTGGCTCTTGTTCTGAATGGGATGGAGAGCCAATGGAGGATTTGACCAGAGGAGTGACATTATCTGACCCATGTGTTTAAAATTATCATGATGGCTGCATGGGCAGAAGCAACAAGACCAATTAGAAGGCTACTGCCATGATGCAGGTGAGATGGTGGTGACTTGGACCGGAGTGGTGTCAGTGGATGTGAGGAGAAGTAGTTTCTAACTTTTTTTTTAAGAGACAGGGTCTCTATGTTGTCCAGGCTGGAGTACAGTAGCTATTCACAGGCACGATCATAGCTCACTGCAGCCTCAAACTCCTGGGTTCAAGTGATCCTCCCACCTCAGCCTTCTGAGTGGCAGGGATTACAGGTGTGATTCAGTCTTATAATGAGGATCCTAGCCACAGCAGTAAGACAAGGGGGGGGGGGCAAAAGGATTAAATAAAAAAAAAAAAGAAAAGAAACAAAGCTATTACCATTTATGATTGCAGGCCGGGCTCGGTGGCTCATGCCTGTAATCCTAGCACTCTGGGAGGCTGAGGCGGGAGGATTGCTCAAGATCAGGAGTTTGAAACCAGCCTGAGCAAGAGCGAGACCCCATCTGTACTAAAAATACAAAGAAATTAACTCTTTGTAAATGTCCTAGAGAAATATAGTAGCTTTCTGTTCACCCTTTGTAAGTAAAAAGGGTGGATCGTTCCACTACTGACATTAAAAAAAAAAATACAAAGAAATTAATTGGACAACTAAAAATATATAGAAAATATTAGCCAGGCATGGTGGAACATGCCTGTAGTCACAGCTACTCGGGAGGCTGAGGCAGCAGGATTGCTTGAGCCCTGGAGTTTGAGGTTGCTGTGAGTTAGGCTGATGCCATGGCACTCTAGCCTGGGCAACAGAGTGAGACTCTGTCTCAAAAAATATATATATATGATTGCATATGTACAAAATTTAAAAGAATCTACAAATAAATTATTAGAATAAGAGTTTAATAAGGTTGCTAGATAAAAATTTATAAAAATCAATTATATATGTCTATGTGTGAGCAACAATTAGGTGAGGAATAATTTTAGAAGTTATCACTTGGAGTAGTATGTAAAATATCAAATACCAAGGTATAAATGTAACAAAATATGTGTAAGATCTGCATCCAATAAATTATAATTTATTGTGAGACACTGAAGAAGACCTAACCTAAACGGAGGGAAATATTACATTTATAGAAGACTCACTATCATGAGGAAGTCAATTCTCCCTCAAGTCATTTATAGATTCAGTACAATCCTAGTCAAAATCTCAAGTTTTTCTATGAGTGTATGGAACTGACAAACTGATTCTAAAATTTACATGGAAATGTAAAAGGCCACGAATAGTCTCTTAAAGGTTAATAAGGTAGAAAGCCTTGCTTTACCAGATATCAGAACATAATTACAAAGCCAGAAAAATAGGATAGTATTGGCACAAAGATAGATAAATTGACCACTGGAACATAATACAGAGCCCAGAAGCTGGTTCACACATATATAGAACCACTGGGTGCAGTGTTTCATGCCTAGAATCCCAGCTCTTTGGGAGGCCAAGGCAGGAGGACCACTTGGGTGATCTAAAACTCCTGGCCTCAAGTGACTCTTCCACCTCTGCCTCCCAAAGTGTTGGAATTACAGGTATGAATTACCGTGCCCAACTGGGAAACATTTCTTAAGACTCAAATACACTAACTGTAAGTGAAAAGCATAATAAATTTGACAACATCTGTTCATCAAAATACAAGCCACAGAATGGAAGGAAGTATTTGTAACATATATAACTGACAAAGGGTGTGTCCAGGATGTATAAAGAACTGCAAATCAATTTTTTTTTAACTTTTTTTTTTGAGACATAGTCTCACTCTGTTGCCCTGGCTAGAGTACAGTGGCATCATCGAACCTCACTGCAACCTGAAACTCCTGGGCTCAGTTCTCCTGTAGTCTCCCAAATAGCTGGGACTACAGGCGTGTGCCACCATGCTCAGCTAATTTTT